ACCCTAAACCCTAAACCCTATCGGAGAGTTTCGTTCTTCAAGAGTTGAAGAATCTTCCTCGATGCGACGGCTCAGGGCTTTGGGCCCGTGCCAGGCTTGTAGTGTTCCGTTGACAAGGTTGCAGTGTGTTTGGTGGCTGGCTAAAACTTGGGGTGCATCGGAAAAGCCGCAAAAGAGCGCAGCAGCAGGCGTTTGAATCCCTAAATGAGTGCATAAAAACTTGCGGGAAAGCCCTAAATGAGTGCATAAACTTGCGGGAAGCTTCCTGCTGAACAAGCTGAGCCAGGTTCCTTACATTTGTGGTTTGGGGCTCTTTCTCCTGGCGTGGAAGAACCCTAAAACTCTACGGTGTTGGTTGGGAGATTCGGAGCATGCCCCTTGAAGTCCGAACCAGACTCAGAAGGGCTACAGCTTAGGGTTTTAGGGTGTTTAGGGGTTNNTTTAGGGGTTTTTAGGGGTTTTAAGGGGTGTTTAGGGTTTTAAGGGTTTTTTAGGGTTTGGGGTTCAGAGGGTCGGCAACAGTAGTGCAGTTTGTGTCCTGGACCTCGGTTACTGAAAGCCTGCAAAGCTCTAAACCCTCGTACCCTGAAGCCTGAACCCCAACTCCAACATGCGCCACAAGCTCTCTTTACCTGCATGGGTTTCTGCTTGACCCAAGGTAATGCGAACCTCAAGACATTGTTGTGAGTAGCAGGGCTCTGAGGCTTAAAGTAGCCGAAGCTACGCCCTACGAGTTCAGGTGTGGGAGTGCTTAGGCGCCAACTAAGACAGTGTGTTCCTTGAGGCACTGTTCTTGGGCACCACTGTCTGACCGGATACCCATGTTCTTGAAGGATGCCACGTGGAATTTCAATAGATTGTGAAGCTCTTAAACCGAAAAGCCGAAGCCGTAACTCCAAGACCCTCAAAAGCTACACCCTCCACCCTGAACCGTAATCATACAGCTTGGGCAGCCATTCACCCTAAACGCTAACCAAAACCCTGAAGCTTAAACCGTAAACCTTATTCTGGATTTTGGAGCACCATACTTTAATACTTTCTTGCGCACCTATTACTTGAAGGAGCCATTACGACGTACAAGTTTATGCAAGCGCTAAACCCTATACCTAAGCCCTAAGCCCTAAACCCTAAGCCCGAAGCCCTAAACCCTGAACCCTAAACCCTAAACCCTAAGCCCTAAGCCCTAACGAGAAGCTCTGAGTCTCACGGCAGGATACACGGCCTGGGTAGCTTTCATTGTGGTCCACACTGTGAGCCACTGGATGATGGCCTGGTGGCTTTGGGTTAACGCAAAGAGCTTGTGTTCAAGAGTCGCATGTCTGAAGCGATTTCAGCATGAATTTGGGAGTCTCCCACGAGAGAGGACCCCTAGTATCGATCCTTCAATATCAAGCATCCTCATGTGAAATTACCTTCTGGAATCTTTCGTTTCTCGTGGGAGTCCCCATATGCATCCTTAATGACCTTGGGAGTTGCAGACAAGCACGTGGATCCCAATACAGACCTTAAGAGTATCCTAGCATCCTGAGTAGAAGGGCCCTGAGCCCTTAACCCCCCAAACCTTAAAAAAGGGATCCCGCGGTTGCACGAAACCCCATCCGAGCTGCTGGCGGCCCATGCTTCGTGCCAGGGAACTGCAGCACCGGTCTGGCAGTCATGCCGCTGCTAGCCATATCGCCTCAGTGAGTTCTTTGTGGCGTTCGCCGTTCCTGTTGTCAGGTACATCACGCAGAAACCTTCGGAAGAATGTGGAAGCCTGCACAAACTTAGCAAAGTTGTGGGCTTCCATACTCACAGTTGCAGAGGTTTTCGGTTGGCTGTGCCAGCGCCAGGGTCCGTTCCGACTGTCCAGTGGGCGCGGGCCATGCTTTTCCTGAAGGAAGCCTGGAAGACAGGACTTCACCATGGACTCCGACCGTCGGAATAAGGACTCTTCAGCTTCGTGTTTGGGGAGCTTGATAGGCCTGGAGTGCCAGAATAGAGGTATGGGTTTAGGGTTCAGGGTTTTAGGGTTTAGGGATATGAAATGTCATAATCGCTTCATTGATAACTGCAGGTGTTAGAACAGCGATGTGTTGTTCATGATCTGCTTCCCGATCATGTTCTGAATCAGAAGACGGAACGAGCCGATCAAGATCGCTCACAATAACCGTCAATAATCCCATTATCACTGCACGATGTGTTCGCGGACTCTAATTAAACCCTAGACCCTAAACCCTAAACCCTAATCTTAAGTACTTAGGCCATTAGCCCCATATCTTGCTAAGCCTCAGGAAGACTGACAGCCACAAGCCATGCTCCATCAGTCTCAGTAGCTGGAAGTCTCAATATCTATTAATACGGTTTAGGGTTTTGGGTTTTCGAAGCCTTGATCACCCCAAGCCCTAAACCCTAAACTCTAAACCCTATTCTGGCTTTGATCAAGCAATGCAGGACTCTCTGGATCTTAACCCTAAGCCCTAAACCCC